GTGGCGTACATCAAGCGCTAGACGCGCAACGTGGCTCTCAACGCACTCGTCAGCTTCCACTATTTAACAACTATAAATCCGGCAGAACTTGGAGTCAAAGTACGATGAGCGACCCAATAATCTTTGCCTTGTGTAAGGAACTCTCTTTGGCTACAAAAGACGAGTATATCACGAGCTTGAAACTATGGTGTTGCTAGGATGCCCCTGCAAACCCATTTATCCTTAAACACCTTACGAAAACTATGTGGGTAATCTATATCATACTCTCGAACCAAAATAGAAATCCAGAAACAGAATGCTGTTATTACGTCATTCGAACCCTTTCGTAATATCCTCAATCTGCAAGACAGTGGGAGACTAAGCTGAGAAAAATATATTTTCATTCATTTCGTTACATATGTAGACATTGCGCACACTCTACAACTAAAATAATACGTATCGAAACAGTTTTATTGTTTCAATATATATTATTTTCTCTAATGCTAAACACGACTGTAGTTTAAACTCATCACAGCATTCAATATCTCCTTTTTAAAAATTAGATATCAGATGACCCGAAATTGGTCATCTTAAATTGATGATTAATTTTATACTGTCGAATTCTGCGCATCCTGTGTGAGAGACGGCATGTTCTGTCTAGGAATTGACCTAAGAATGCACATGCTCCCTTCATATACCTATCTAAATCTTTTGTGTCATGATTTTATTCAACACTTCATCCCAGCTTTCTCCCTGCAGGAGTATGGATCAGCACAGGACCATGATACCTCTGATCCCTATGACAGAATGGAGAGCCGTATGTTTCACGAGAATGAAGAAAACGACAGCACCCACTCGAATCACAAGACCTTTTGTGTGCCGCGCCTTCACCGGCAGCACACGTGAGCTCCTTCTCGCCTTGGAGATGCTGAGATACAGCAAGACATATTCAAATATAGCCTCTTTGTTGGCCCTCAACCACTTATCTCCTTTGCTACCCCCCCCCCCCCCTTATTCGATGCCCTCACTCGACTGACCCCTGTCTCTTTCGCTGATTTAGGCTTTTTAGTTCTTTGCAGAAGTTGGAGTTATTATTATATTATTTAATTGGTGGGCTGATTAGTAAGGATTATGAGGAAGCAATAGTATTACATGTAGAACTCAGTCAACACCATAATATAAGTCGTGCAAATTGTGATCTATTGTTGGCGGAGGGCGCCAGCCAAAAGAATTGAAATACAATTTTTTCTTTTATCAAATAAATGCGACGAGGAGGCAATTCCGCACAAAAGCATTGTAACATTGAAATAATTTGTGACCTGACCTACTACAAACACTTAAGTATAACTAACACAAATTGAACATCTAGAAATACACAACAACTAGCTTCCCCTCCACTCACTACAATTTAACGCCACCTGTCGCCCAAACAGATACTGGCCGAGCGACGGGTGGGTGAACAACGGAGCATGTATTTCAGGCTCTCGAGAGGTGGCGCGGCCGAAACAGGTGCGTGATAGAGCCTGTCTAAGTTCTCGCCCTGCTGCGCTGGCCCTCCCCCGCGTACGCCGGGCAGCGCGCTCTACTAGATCCAAATCGTCGCTTGGGCCCACGGCCTCCCCGAGTGTTATATAGTCGGGCCCTCAGCTTGCCGGGGAAAAGATGGGGAAAAAGTTTGGCCAGTCGCATCTGACATTACTTTGAATAATATCTGTGTAACGCATTTGTTCAAGGTAACACGTCATATTTTGAGCAAAAAACGGCCGAAGCAAAGTTTGTATACCTTGGTATATATATATATATATATATAAATTTGAAGATCCGCGAAATGAAATGTTCAAATATAATTTTTTAAATTTGACCCAAGATTGGAGCAAAAGTGCCCCCCATTGCCCCTCCTTAATCCCGCCTCTGGTTTTAATTATGCAGCGGATAACGCAAATCTGTCAGACATGTATTTCAATTTTTAGTTTCTATACGGAGCAGTATACGTAGTGTAGGGAAAGTTATGTAATGCTGCGGAAAGTCGATTTCGATATTTCAACGAAAATACACATTTTGGAGTCCTTTACAACGAAAAAATGCGTTTTTTCTAAACGTCCGTCCGTCTGTCTGTCTGTCTGTCTGGTGTATGTGAACAACACTAAACCATGCATAGAATTTTTCCAAATTGAAGACACTTCTGTCCATTTGGTCTGAGTCAAAGCTCTGCGATTTTGAAAATCATTCATTAGTTTTGGGGGTACTTTACATGAAGCATCTGGGACATTT